GCCTAGGAATCTCTGGTTGGATGCTAGACATTAGATCTTTATCTTGTTAGGTGCTGGAGATTTTTGTATTCCTATAAATCTTTTTGAGCTTCCTCTGGGATGCAGTTAAGTTACCTGGAAACAGTTTGATCCTTTTGAGTTTTGCCTTTCATTATTTCTTAGTAACAAGCAATGCTCAGTCTAGAGCCCCTTTTGGTCAATGCTATAATTACTCCCATTCTACTGACGAGGATGCTGAGTCTGTAGGGATTCAGTGACCTGCCCCCAAACACTCAGCTAGGAAGTGGCAGAGCTGAGAACGCACCCCAGCAGTCTGGCCACAAAGGCTGTGTTCTGTGCAGGCAGCAATAACATCCATCGGGGGAGCATGCCAAGAGATTGATTTATCAGAAATTAATTACCTAAGGGATCAAGTTGAAAACAACTGGCTAATAGGATCATTACTAAAGTTCACATGACAATCAACTATCTTTCTAGTCCTCGTGGTGAAAACAAAAGTTGTACTAGGTGTCTTGAGGCCGGTGGGTTCCCCTGCTCTTCATTTGTTGGATTAAGATTGACCGTACATCAATGTGTTGAGTGTGCAGCAGCCAGGCGGAAAGAATGCCACAGGGGGTGGCCAGGGCCACAGTCCTGTTAGTTTTTAATGGAGACAGTTGCTGGTGACACAGCTCAGGCAGAGGCCTCACCACTGGCAGCACTTTAGAAGGGCTCAAGCAGCAGTTACCATCTTGGAGTGTGCTTCATTCAGGCCCTGAAAGTCAGAGGAGCCAGGGCTTGAATCTAAGCCACAATCACTCCTTGGGTGTGGCCTCATGTAAGTGATTTAACCCCTTGGAGTTTCAATAAAAAGGAGAGAATGATACCCATGCACAGAGTATTGAGTGAGGAAGAAATCATAGATGTACTACATCTGATTTATACTAAGTGGTCACTGCTATTATTAATAAATGAAGCCCTCATGGGCCAGAATAATGATGATCTGAAACTAGGACAACTATTTATTCATTATTTTATGTGCAATGTGCTTTACGTATCTACTGCTGTGTAACAAAACATCCCAAAGTGTAAAACAACAACGGTCATAATTGTTATTACCTTTGATCATTCTGGAGGTTGAATGGGCTCAGCTAGGAGGTTCTGGCTAGGAATACAACCCATGATTGGATGTCACAGGGGTCAACAAATCCTGCCCCTGGATGGTAAAAACGAGATTCCCAACCCCACTCTTGTCTGCTGGTGTTTCCCTCAGGGCTTTGATCATAGGTAAACCTTCTGTGTCCAGTCTCATTGCCAGCTTGGGGGTCCAAGACTGTTCAGACAATGGGTGACACCCATCTTCAGCTGAGGGCTGAGTGTTGTATGGAATTTATCTGCCTTGGGAGAGTGAAAACCTTGTCTGGCTTCTCTCCCCTAAAAATTTCCACCCTGGTGCTTCACAATGACTAAGGAAGGCTCTAATGCAGGACAGGGAGGGATCCCTGATGTTGGCAGGCCCTAAAATGGAGACAGGTAAGGCTGAGGTGGAGCTGGTACACACAGGTGTTGGAATTGGCCAGATTAGAGTGAGAATGCTGACTCTGACACTTCCTAACTCCTGCCTGAACTTCACTTTCCTCTCTGTGAAATGGGCTGATTATAGTGCTTAACTCTGAGAATTCCTGAGAGAAGTAGATGAGACCACGCTAACAAACGCAGTGCCTGGCACGCATCCCTGTGGGGATTTTGTGAGGATTAAATAAGCGTACATATGTGAAGAGCTTAGAGCAACTCTGGCAGCTGCTAAGCACCAAGCAAGCCTTACTATTCTAGACTTTCCCTGGGTGACTTAACTTTAAAGGCTTCAATTTCTACTTATACCTTCAAAAGCGCTATCTGTCAATTTTCTTCTATGCTCTAAACCTAAAAGTTTCAACATTCAACAGGACATTTCCACTTGGAGGACATACAAGCTTCGCTCATGCTCTGGCCCTTGGTGTATATTTAATACCTCTGCCTAAAAAGCCAGCTATTAAGAAAAAAAAAGAAGAAAGCTTTTCTAGAATTGTGTGGCAAAGAACAGACTCCTCAGGCAACCTCAAGTTAGGAAAGCTGCAGGGAGGCCCTGAGTAGGGACAGACTGGGCAGGAGCTTCAGCTATCAACTGGCTCGGCTCTGTTGTCTGGGCTATTCTGTTGTGCGGGCTCCTTATGGGCAGCCTTCCCTTGGGAAGTCAGCCTTCCTGACTACCCGCCTGCCCCGACGGGATAGGTTGGGTGGCTATATATAGCCCTCAAAGTCTTAGGGTAGCATCCTTTGGGGAACCCGGAACTTAGCCATTTTATCATGGGCCCCGCAGAGGCACTAGCCTCTCTTCTGTGGAAGCCCATCCCTGAAGCCTTGACCTAGTGTGTTCCTCCCTTCACTCAGCTCCAGCTCCTCTGGCTTTGGGACGCTTCCCCACCTCATTAGTCACACTCTCTTCTTCTCCACCGCGTTTGAACACAGCGTGTTGGAGTTACTGATGTCCAGTGTGGTTCCCCAACCAGGCCGTCAGCTAGCCAGGGCAGGAGGTGTGTATTACTCACTCTTGTATCATCATCATGGAATGGGCCGTCGCTGCATGTCTGCTGAGTGAATAGCACAGCAGACATCTTTAGTGCTTCTTTGTGAGGCCTGCTCTGCTCAAGGGAGGTACAGAGGACTCTCCATACAAATCGGGCCAGCTGGGTCTGGGCTGGCATTTTATTTACTTGTTGATTTTTAAAGTAAAGCAGTTGTTTTAAAAATATTTTTTGTAGTTTACAAATAACATGTACGTTGAAAAAAAATTTTAAGACTCTGTAAAGTTAAATGTTAAAAATTCCCCTCACTTCTCTTCCAATGCAATCCCCACAGGCAAACACCAGTTTAAAAAAAAATTAACAGCTTTATTGATATATAATTCAGATATCATACAGTTCACCCATTTAAAGTATACAATTCAGTATTTTTTAGTATATTCACAGGGATGGGCAACCATTACTACAATCTAATTTTAGGACACTTGTTTCCCCCAAAAGAAACTCAGTTCCCAATAGCTTACCATCACCACCTCTGTCCCTTCCCAGCCCTAAGCAACCACTCATCCACTTTCTGTCTCTATAGATTTTTTGCCCATTCTTGGACATTTCATGTAAATGGAATCATACAGTATGTTGTCTTTGGTGTCTGGTTTCTTTCACTGATCATGTTTTTGAGGGTTATCCATGTTGTTTCATGTATCAGTACTCCATTCCTTTTTATTACTAAATAGTATTCCATTGTATTAATAGAGCATATTTTATTTATTCAGTCATCAGTCACTATTAACAATTTAATATACTTCCTGTATTTGTTCAGATTGTTTCGGTTTAAATCCTTTCTGGATAAGTTCCTAGATGAGTGACCTCGGTCAATTATAACCTCTTCAAGCCTGCCTCAGTTTCCTCAGTAGTAGAATCTGAATAACAAAGGGGTCTACCTCATAGCGTCACAGTTGTACTGTCACAGTAATGAGTATTTGCTGAGCACTTACTAAGTGCTAGGCACTGTAGATACCTAACAGATGTATGATTGACAGATTAGGGAATTGAGGCTGGGAGAGGTTAAGCAATCTACAGATCAGACAGCCCCTAAGAAAGTGATGGAGGTAAACAGAATCACAGACTGTCTACAAAGCCTACACCATTACTTGTTGGTATTACAGAATAACAAAGCACTTATCAAGGCCCTTGCAAACGGAATGGGTTTAGTAAATGATAACTGATCTAACTATAAAAAAGCAGAAAAAAATTAACCATACTCATCATCTAAAGACACTTGCCACTGTTAATTTTTGGCTTATTTCCTTCCAGTCTTTAAGAAATATTTCAAACATACCAAAAATCCAGAAAATAGGTATCCATCTTTCTTTCACCTCTGTTTTTTTTTTAATACACAAAATTTAGTAGATTAGGTGGCTCTATCTCCCATACCCTTAGGTATTGCTATTTTTTCACTATGCATTATTTTTCCTTAGGTTATTAGAGTCACACTACATCATATTCTATCTTTTAAAAACCTTATCTTGAGCATTTCCCCAGTATATATTACCTGATTTCTCACAGCCACATATACTATATTGTATGTTTGAAACATGATTTGTCAATTCCCTACTTTCGGGCATTTCAGCTGTCTCCCAGCAAAATTATCATTACACATCGATCTTTCTTCAAATGCCTGATAATTCCTTTTGGACAAATTCCTAGAAAGCCCGGAAGGTTAGAGACTGCTTGTCGTTAAAGCTCTTCATACCTTTTTTCTTCTTCTTCTTCTCCTTTTTTTTCCTTTCGCCAAATAGCTTTTAAGAATGCGAACAGAGAGAAGGGAGATTGGAAAGTTTTATTCACACACACACACACACGAAAGTGCACATAAGCGTGCAGCTCACTGAATTTTCACAAACAGAATGCACCACGTATCCAGCACCCAGATCCTTAAAAACAGCCTTTCCAGCGGCCCAGGACCGCCTGTCCCTCGCCATCGCTACTATCCAAGGAGTGGGATTTTTAACGCCGCAAAAGCCTACTGATCCGATTACATCTTTGGAAACTTACTTTATTAATACTTCGATGTAACCTAGACCACGAAAACACGAGCGAAGCCTTGTTTGTAACTGCTT